AACGACTTGTTGAAGGGCACGGGCATGTGCATATCATTCGGTTTCTCGATACTGCTGCCCGGATCAAACAGAATCGTTTCATACATAATCTAAGGTAGATGGGGAAGTAGTTTATAAATGAGGGAGGGTATATCAAGGCGATGAACTGAGTTTGAACCGTCGATCTAGGGGGAAGACTTTCGCAGTGTGCAATATACATTCTTTTATACCAATTATATCGATTTTCGGATTTGGGTTTTCTTATATATCTCGAGAACTATAAGAGGTACATAGGCCAAACTTGGTATGTAAGTTCTCGTAAAGTGTATACAGATGAAGGAAATTTAATTTTTGGGAAACCTTCCATTCTTCCTAAATATATCAACAATAGAATTCTTAGAGCTAGCGTCTTGCGCTTTGGTATACACACACTTTGAATGCCATATTTTATCCCTGAAAGTTTTGTAAAAATCGGATGAAAGGCAACGAAGTTACAATAGGCTGCCTTTCTTATAAATAGTGTGGGGTAATGAAAATATCAAGTGCGCAGCTTGTGGCGTTTATCTTATTGTTTTAGAGCATCGAAAAAGTCTTAGAAAGTTTGCAGCCACAGCTTGGCGCATGATTCAGGGTATCTTCTAGTCGAGCACACCCGTCTAACTAGTATTGTTTCGCAAGTTTGCAGCCCTGATAAATAGAGTTAAATAAAGGTCTGTCGCTTACGCCATTTATTAGCTCATCGATGGACTGCTTGTTGCCGCCGACTCCGCCGCGCATGCTGGAACGTGTCCGGGATCGGGCTGTGCTGCCTCTGGAGTGTACCTGTGGCATGCTGACCATTTCGTGCTTGAGATGCATATTGAATTTGAGGAACTGATCTGTGTACGGCGATTCGGGTATATAGTTGGGCGTCAGATCCACCTCCTCGCCATCGACTGTGTCCAGCACCTGGCAAATGGAATCAATTAACTGGATGCTGGAATTTTTGATAAGAGCCCACCCGAAATTGCGAGCGGTACTCAATATCTGTATTGATTTCCATGGCGTAGGTGTGCTGTTCACGTTGTTTCTTTTAGCCCCAGATGGTTCTTCGAATATGTCCAGAGCGACAATCACGGATTTCTTTAACGATTTACGCTCGCCCTCAGGCTCTTTTTTATATTCGACAAGAGATCCATCTTTGATTATTTGGTTTTAGTTTAAGTTTTAGTTTCAATGTCAAGTCTATTAAATCTAGTCGAAGTATTCTTCAATGCTATAGAATGCTGGGAATTGGAACTGAAACTCCTTGTGTGACTCGATAAGCCATTTGAGAGTGCTCTAGTAGGGTGTGCCCGACTGGAGGATACCCTGAACCTACTTCTTTCAACTCCAAATGCAGTTTGCCTTAGTTTAAACTTCTGTCTGTTGCCTGAATTCACCCACTATACCGAATACCCTATTTACCCATTTACAGGGTATAAATATTGTAGTTTTGTTTGCCTGTTGAATATTTCAAAGAATATTTATTAACCAATCAAAATCTCAGGTCGAACTAATTAAACTAATTCTTGTATTTTTACACAACTGTAATTGTGTCAATTTTTGGTTCAAGGCAATCATAGCAGCCACGGGTTTGAACCGGCTTGCTGTCTTGCTGGTACTTCTGTTTATCATCTCTGCAAATCAGTGCGTGCCTTTTCTTATCAATTTTCCTTTAATTAGCTCTATGAATACTTGTTAATTTTTAATTAAATCTCTTGGAGTTTGCAAACCCAATCTCCAGCTAGTTAGTGCGTTTGTTCCGGCTGCTGCTGCTTATCGGCGGCAGCTCACGTGGCGACTCCTTGTAAATTTCCCCTGCGCCTGATGTTAGATAAATGCCAGATAAAGCTAACACCCTGCTGCCCGGATACCAACCACCATCCGAAGGACGCAGCTCCACTCGGCACGCAGCACTCGGCAAGCGCGTTTCAGTTACAGTTGGACCCGCGTGCCGTGCAAAACGTAACAAGAAATCCGGAATCCGGAAACCGGAAAAATTCGAAAAAGTACGTTTCATTCGCGGCGGCGATAAAAAGTGAATTTGCATGCGTGTATCTTTGAGATACATTTCGTCTAATCGATGTGGTGTTAGACACAAGATATATTGCTCTCGCAATCCAAATCTCAATTGCCAAGCGGCTAATTACGAGCATGTCCATTGCACAACAGCAAAAGCAACAGCAACAGCAACACGAGACGGCATTGCCTTCAATGGACTGCCAAAGTGAAAACCGAGTACCAGAAAACTCAATTAGGAATGTTGCAAAAAAAACAACATCGTCGGCCAAACCGCAGCCAGCTTCAGCTACAGCTCCAGCTCTGGCCAAGCAGCAGCAGCAGCCGCAGACGCAGTACGTCATAAATTCAGCGCCAATGCATGCCAAGGCGACCACCGCGGGGGTCATCACCGGCGGCACGCTCCATCTGCATCGAGTGAAAAGTGCGCAGGTACGTAAAACGTGACGTTAATTGAAAGTTAACCAGCACACGGGGATGCACTTCCAGCGCCCATTAAGATGTCGCTATATGAGCTTTAGCATACTCTATAAACGAGGTGAGCTCAAGAGAAATCAAGGGGTATCGAGAGGATTAGGTAAACACAAGGAAGACTGAGATATAGATTAAGATATAGATGTAGATATAGATATAGATATAGACATACAGACATGAAGACATATAGATATGTAGACATTTAGACATTTAGATATTTAGATATATAGCTATATAGATATATACATATAGATTTGAAGGTGAACCAGTTGAACAGCCCTCTCTCTAAGTCAATTGCAACGGGGACATTGCTAGAGTGAAAATACCAAAGCAAAGCACACGCAATGCTCAGATACAGCTTATGAGGATGCACAGATACAGATGCAGATACAGATACATGCGAATTCCCGGTTCTTGTATAGATACCTTGCCACAGTGCAGGGTGCGTAACGTAAATTTGTGCGTCTATTTTTTTTCCTTCTTTTTGCTATCATTATTTCTTTGCCTTTTTTGCCGGCACCGGCTGCCGTCCTCGGGTCTGTCCCGGCCCGGCTGGCACGGAGCTCAATGGAGCTTGCCGCATGCGTGTGAGCCTGCGCTGGACGTGCGAGAGACGAGAGACGAGAGGCGAGAGGAAAAGCGTCATCATAGCCATGTTATGTAAACATTGACTGGGAGGACTTACGAGATGTGCAGTGGGGTGGCAGGTGGAATGGGCAGGGAAGTGAAAAGCAGCGACTCCGAAGCGACGGGCAACCACGACGCAGTTGCCAACGCCGACTGCTGGCTGCCTGATGCTCGATGGAGGCGTTTTGGCGGTCTTACTGTTATTACTGCTACTGCTGCTGCCTCCACTGCTGCTGTTGATGCTGTCAAAGTCATGTCCATTCATCTGATGCGAAATGAATTTGTTGACGCCATTCAAAGCGTACTTTCAGGGTGGCTGCTGTGGTTGTGATTGCATGTGTGTGTGTGCGTATCTGTGTGTTAGTTGTTGCGTGTGGTCTATTACTTGCGCGTATCTGTGTGTGCGACTGCCTGGCCGATTGGGTGGTCTGAGCAGGCAACAAATCAAAGCATTGTTTGCCTTTAAGTCGCAGCATCCACATTTGCATTTGCCCACTTTTCGTCTGGAGTAGCCCGCATAATTTCTTTGCCCACTTGGCCGTTGAGCCAAGTTATGCAAACTTTTCTCGCAACTTAACTTCTTGAACGTTGCCATAAAATGCAAAAGAAAATAACATTTTAAAGCTCTTCCAAGAGTACGGCCTTTCAGGCAACCGCATAGCGAAACTTTGAGTTCGAGTTCCAGACTGGAGTATGTAGCAGGTATTATCTAAGCTATCTATCCTCTTTAGGTATCTATAGATCCTATACTTTAATAATGATTAGAATAGTAAGAGTACGAGAGGTACGTGTTTTTGTTGTAGACAGTGAGATCGGATAACTATATCATATAGAAATGATCAATCAATCTAATACTTATAAAGTATGAAAAACTATCTTGTTTATCAAGTTAGCTTCACCAAACCCCGCAAAATCCTACCAACATGGGACTATCATAATATATATCTGCCGTAGCAAAGATGAGTTAAAAATAGATTTCTTGTATTAAAAACCTTTTTATTCATCAAGATATTTTGAGCAAATCTTTCATTTATTAGCTTTTATTATAATCAAACACTTATTAACATCAGACTCCTGTATCAAGCTTACGAGCGTCACAATTCTTTCCGCAAATCTGCAAGACCCTGACTCTACAAGGGTATTAAAATTTCGGCCAAGTTCGAAGTTTCGTTTCTTGTTGTTTTTTTTTTCGATCTGCTATCCCTTAAAGTTTTTCCCGGCAGCAGCTCGAGGGCTTTGGTGGTGGTTCTGCGACTTGTTTATGTTTGCTTCAATTTTATCCCTGACATCGTTTGCATCCTTTGTTTGGGCTTTCGATTGCGATTTTCCGTGTAGTTTCGCTAAAAAAAAAAACTCAATGTCAGAGGGGTCGGGGAATGGGGGAATGGGTGTTGGGCTGTGCTTGGCATCGGCCTTGCCCGTTTGCATGTCCCGCCAGCCGAGGACAGCCTTGCACTTGCCCGCAATTGAACTTCACTTGGGGTTGTTTCGCCCACGGTTCCGGCAACAGAGAGAATCTCATCGTTGTCCTGCGCTCCCATTCAGCGGCTGGCAGTGCTCTTGCTGAATTTATCTGAGAGCCCAAATCGCAAACTGGAGAGGGTCTCCAGTCTCTCTGACTTTGCCCTTTGGCCGGAGTTGTTATCCCTTTCTCCCTCTCTCTCTCTGTTTCTGCTCTGGTCTCCTTTCATCTTGGGCTCGTGTTTGTTTTGCTTTAGCACCGTCTCGAGGGGTTAATCAACCTTCTTCAACTGTCGCCCGAGCTGTAACCGAGACTCGAGAATTTTTTGAGTTGCTCGCAAATTCAGCTCGTCCCATGGATAATGCACAAAGCAATTGAATTTATGAGCTGTACTCGTCTTTACAGAATCCATAAAGTTAGTTTGTAAGTGGATTTATGGCCTGACTTCTTACGCAGCACGTGTAGCTTTTTACAGTCGTGTGTCAATGCATCTCAAGGGTAGCTGGGATATAAATCAGAATATTTTGAAAGAGAGTGCAAAATAATATGGGTTTTTTCTTTATAAATACTAGGAGGGTATATTTCAAAGCAAATAGTCCCCTCAAAAGTAATTAAACAAATTATTTGTCATCTAACATTTTTATCCAAACTGACCTTATTATACGTAGCGTATAAAAGGTCACATTTCTAACTACCTAAAGTATTTGTATATGCTTGATCAGAGAGTATTTACCCGGAGAGTGCACATTGTCACATAGTGGGAATTGTTTGCTCCCAATATTGCTATTTATGCTGGTGATCCCTTCGCAGCATCTAGTGTGGGGGGAGGGGTGGGGTAATTCACATATGCACTGCACGCACGCTATTGGCTGTCAGGCTTTTGATCCCGCTATCTTTGTTTTTATGCAGCCGAATTTGCTTGTGCTTGCGCTCTCAATTGTTATGGTAGTATTAGTGTGACGCCGGCTTAGCGTAGGCGCGCGCTTAATGAGGCAATTTAGTGTGTGCCTTTCTCTGCTGTTGATCGGTTGCGTCCTCGGCGCGTGTTAAATAAATCTAATCTCGTTTTGAATAGATTTAAGTTAAATTTGTAGTATAAAACGCGTTTCGTTCGTATTGTGTGTGTGTTTACAAATTTCTATTTACTTCTACCGCTTCATTCAACAATTGGCAAATTATTTGTCGCTTACATTTTGCTGCTGAGCATTTTTCACAAGAGGCAAAATGGCGCGAACACAATCAAAGAAAGAGAGAGAGAGTGAGAGAACAATCTAGAAAAAGTAAAGCTCTTATTTAACAGGTAATTGTGCTCTTGCTGTGCATGCATACATAGAAACTATATATCTATATATGTAACTTATATTAGTGACGTCACAGGCTCTGTTAATCTTTTAAATAGTATGCGAATGAAGAGAGTAGACTTTTACAGTTTGGCTTACTGATCATATGCTACAGTAATTGCAGT